TATTGCATATCATTGTCTGTGTCACACAAATGAGTGGAATTACTCATAGCAATTAGAAGTTGCATAAATAATGTGAGAGGCAGACACTGGGCAGATATAAACCATTGTAGTTACAATGAAGTCACTAAGGCTATATGGGTTTGGATTTGGTTGCTAAAATGCAATTATATTACAGAACTGGACCTGTATTATAGCACTCGTGAGCAGGGGGTAAAAAGGGGAGTAAAAAGAACATTCCAAGATGCATAAAATAACATTTTCATATTAGAAATTTGGCTTTAGCTGTTAAAATATGCAAACCAGAAAGATTTTTTTTGCAAGTCATTTAATATTACTTATAAGATAAAACATTTGCATTTTTGTGCAAATAATAATGCAGGCATTTTGTTTCAGTACTTCAGCTGAAAAATATTGATGGAGCAAAACTGCAAAAAAAAAAGACAAATATTCACATCAAGTCATTAATATTGTAAATACGTTGAGCTGAGATTACTGATGATATGAAAAGCAGGGAAAAAACATGTAACTGCCTATATGGCATAAACGGCTGATCTTGCTATGATTAGAAGGCTTTGCTGCCCAAAACTTACATCTACTCCAGATGATCACATCCCAACACCAGTAAGTTACATGAAATAACTGCACAGATAGTAAAACTAAAATAACTGTTCTAACAATTGTTTGGGAAGAACTGGAAGCACTGGAGACAGGATTAGAATACAAAGAGATTTGCACAAATCAGAAAAAATAACTTTAAACCCTCAAGAATACAATGCAGTCAAGACAAGTGCAAAGTGCTCCCTGAAGAAAGAATGACTTGGCAAAATCAGAAAAGCTTCAGATACAGGTTTATGTCAGTGTCAGGGAACCGTTTTTCAAGGACACAGACCTGTAGAAGTGAGTTCACAGATGAGTATCAGGAAAAGTTCATGAAGTTCAACGAGGCCAAGCGCAAGGTCCTACACAAGGGTCTGGGCAATCCCAAGCACAAATACAGGCTGGGCGATGAGTGGATTGAGAGCAGCCCTGCGAAGAAGGACTTGGGGGTATTAACGGATGAAAAACTGAATATGAGCCAGCAATGTGCACTCACAGCCCAGAAAGCCAACCATATCCTGGTCTGCATCAAAAGAAGCGTGACTGGCAGGTCAAGGGAGGTGATTGTCCCCCTCTACTCCACTCTGGTGAGACCCCACCTGCAGTACTGCGTTCAGCTCTGGGGCCCCCAACATAAGAACGACATGAACCTGTTGGAGTGAGTCCAGAGAAGGTTCACAAAGATGATCAGAGGGCTGGAGCACCTCTCCTATGAAGACAGGCTGAGAGAGTTGGGGTTGTTCAGCCCGGAGAAGAGAAGGCTCCAGGGAGACTTTATAGCAGCCTTCCACTACCTAAAGGGGGCCTACAGGAAAGCTGGGGAGGGACTTTTTACAAGGGTGTGTAGTGATAGGACAAGGGGTAATGGCTTTAAACTAAAAAAGGCTAGTTTTAGACTAGATGTTAAGGAAGAAGTTCTTCACTGTGAGGGTGGTGAGGCACTGGAACAGGTTGCCCAGAGAGGCTGTGGATGCCCCATCCCTGGAAGTGTTCAAGGCCAGGTTGGATGGGGCTTTGAGCAACCTGGTCTAGTGGAAGGTGTCCCTGTCCATGGCAGGGGGATTGGAACTAGGTGATCTTTAAGGTCCCTTCCAACCCAAGCCATTCTACGATTCTAATGAAAAGGACTCTAACAGAAACAACTTGAAAAAGCAGGAGGTTTTGGTCTAAGGAAGGTAAGACTGAAAGGAAACAATATGACAGTCTTCACTCACTGCAAAGTTGTCAAAAAAGGGGAAAAAATCTTCTAATGTTTCTTGGGTAACAGAAAGTAATTAGCTTAAGTTTCAGAAAAGATTTATTATAAGGTGTTTTTTTTTAAATCATCCTAATATTACCACTCAGTTTTCCTAGGCATGTTGTGGGCTTATCATTGCTTTAGTTGTTTGTCAGAAATGGCTAGGCAACAGACTAAATGACAACCTTAACAGCTTTGGTTTTATGTTTCTGTGAAAAATGACAATGCCCTAAGAAGAGCAAAAGACCCCTCATAAATTATAAATCTCTTTCTCTAAGTACAGCCTATCAAGGGTCTTCAGTTAGGTCAAATGTGGCTTTGGATTTTTAAATATTTCAGGCAGGCATTGTGCATCTACCTCAGTCTGTGATACATTAGCATAGCCATTAATAAAAACAAACAAATCATACCAGTAACCCTGGTTCTGAAGAGGCTGGTATAGTGCTGGTGTAGTGTGAGTGAGCTCCCAACAAAACACGTACACAAGTTCCCGATGATGGGCTCTGTCCATCTTCTTCCCCTCCAGATATTTGGATAATGGGTGATTCTGACTATTTAGTATTCCACTAAGTTTGTCATTAGTAAACATTTATCAAAAATATTTTATCAAGTGAAGAAAGGAATATAATGGTATATAACATAGATTTAAAGAACATACCAAGATTTCTAATTTTACAAACACACAGAACTAATGAATCATGGCAACCTTCACCTACACCAGATACTTTATTACCTGAACCTAATCTGACTAATGCTTGCTTAAAGATCCTGTCACTAACAGCTGCCTATAAAATCAAAGTCTTTCTGGTTTTCTTTGTCATTTGGTGGTCTTTCTAATTAGCATCAGAAAAAAAAATATAGATTACTAATGACCGAAATAAAACCAAAAAAGATAAATTTTAGTAAATATATTTTAAAAGTCTGTATACTGTTTTCTTCAATATGTATTTCTGTGCCTCTGTGAAGAATAACCATTTAGGAAACAGAATTGCCTTTAAGTCTAATGAAACGAAAGATCTGTATGCAAGATCAAGTGCACAGTTTCAATTACTAAAACAACATTCCTTCTGGCTTGTAGGAACATTAGTGCTGCCTCCTCCAGGGTAAAAGATGGAGAAAGCAGTTATTTACTGGTGTTTGAGTTTTGTAATGTTTCTCTTCAGCACTTAGAAAATCTAATTTCCTGTGAACGGGGCTTGTGTTATCATCCATCACAACCCTTTTGTGCTGGCTCCTTACTAATACTGCTCATAGCAGCTTGGACTGATAAGATGACTGTGGTCTTTTCTAAGTACAGATGCTTGGACCCAAATCAAAATAGATAGTAGTCAAACAATATGTGTTAGGGCAGTACCAGCAACACACAGCAAGCTTTCTCTTCTCAGTTCTTCTCTAATGAAAGATCTTTATCTAATTTGTAGTGTTCCTGGAGTATAACCCTACTGCTGTCACCAGACTGTATTATTAGTAATTTAACAGAACTGAAAGCTGAATGAAAGCAGCTGTCAATCAAATTCTAAAATTACCCTGTTATTTGACTTTTTGGTGCCATACAGTGGGAAGCATATACAAGTAATTTTGTGTATATAGGAGGGAGACATAGTATTTTTGCATGTCTTTCTATATATCTCTTGCAACTCAAAACCATTTTTTTGATACTGATATCTGTGCCCTGAATAACTAGCAGCACACAAGCAAAACTGAGATATATGAAAAGTTTAAGCACAAAATGTATGCAAATCCAGTCAATTCTGCTTAGTTTTGAAAGATGAGCCAAATTACACAGTTAATTGCATCAAAAAGCTCTTCAAACAAATTTTAGGTACTGCTATTGCTTGTTTACAAGTTGGCAGCACAATACGCTGCTTTCAGAGAGCAGAAGATAATATGCAATTTTGCTTTTGTTTTGTTTTGGGTTTTTTTTGCAGCTCTTTGAAAACATTATTACAGTAAAAGTTACAAAATGCTTTTTAAGACCGATTAGGTACAAAATGCAAATTGTATTAAAGAATTATTGATTGAAGGTTTCAGCAAGAGTCTCTGAAAGCTGGACAACTACCATGTTGTTAGCCAGAGAAGGTTTTTCAGAACCTGGGATAATTTTTTTATACGGGTAAGAGACTTACATTTCTCAAACTGATGATCTTAGAGGTTTGAGTTCTGAGCAAAGAGCTACTTGGAGATGACTAATAACAAAGCTCCCGGCAGGGTTATTTGCATAGATACTTCTGACTTGTCTGGAATACAAGTACTTTATGTCCCATTAAATCATTGATATAATACACTTAATGTTCTTTGTACTTGAAAAGCAATCATTGTCATAGTAATTGATATAAGACAATATGTTTGAGATGTTCAAAAGGAATAAGTTTATCAAGATCCTCAAGCACAAGACAAGGAGAAAACCAGACTCCATGAGGGCAGAATACAATACTTCTCACTGCATTCAGCCTTCTGTGCGTTTAAGTCAGGCCCCTACCAACAGATTATAGATGGGGCTTCATATAATATCTGCAGTGATTTCAGCAAAGCTCTAGATCTGATTGCTGGGTCCTTATAACTTTTGAAGTGTCTTCTTAGTCTTCTTTTATGCAGCTCAGCTTTGCAAATGTTCATGTCAGCCTTGTGAGTGGCACTGGTTCCTTCTCAAATGTCTGAAGCAATACTGGCTTCAGATGGCAAGATAGAGTAGAGTGGTACAGAGGTCACATTCACACAGGAAATTTTACTGTGGTGTCAAAGTTAAGAAATTGAGCATGGGAATGGTATCAGGGAGGAAAACCTTAGCAAAGCTTACCCTGTCACAGAAAAATGGTATTTTCATATCTGTTCCCTTATGCACTTTTACAGCAAAGATGATATCTAAATCCATTTATTATATTTAATTTCTTCAATTTATTATTATACTTATTATATATAACTGAAATCAAAATAGCCAGATACGCCACACTCTTTCCTACACCAGAAGTTTCCTTTTACTTAAAACATAATGTCATAAAATTGTCCCAGCAAAGTGAAAAGCAAATATCGATTGTATTCTTCCATCTCAGGCTGACAAGGAAACAAAATTATTTTCTTCTCAGTCTGTCATACCGTATAGCACAAATGTAATACAATGGGCGATCACCATTAGGTGGGCTTTCAAGCAATACAGCTGTATTCAAACCTTCTTTTTTTAACTCTGGGAAGAGCCAGAATTGTGTATCTTGTGTGATATACAGGCTTGCACTGGTGGCTATTAACAGAAAATGGCATTTGTTCTAGTCTTCAGTGGCACTGTAAAAATTGATGTGAATTATAAAACAAGATGAATGGTTTAACAGAGGGCTAACTTTAGAGAAGATTCTTGCCGTTTTATTGTCATTTTCTAGACTTTACTCCAGAATTTCATGTCTCTGGATGGATTCTCATACTCACAAAAAAGCCTGATGAACTGAAACCCAACAATGTTTATATAATTTCTTCCCAAAGATGACTTTCCAGCAGTCCTAACTGGTATCCTGTGGAAGCTGTTGGCTGTTGAAATGAGGTATAGCATCAACCAATGTTGATTCGCAGGGACAGAGTTCAGAACAGAAATTTCTTATTCATAGAAATAAGTGGCTTGTACTCCCCTGATAATATAAAAGATTTGAAGACCTTGAAAATCTTTGATTCATGGTGTCTATGAACCGACTAATGTACCATTGACAGAGTTGCAGGCAGCTTTAAAAACTAACGCAGATGAGTAGAAATACAATGGGAAAACAACAAAGAAAATTAATTTATCTCTCTTCATTTTTGTCAACATATTTGTTGTATGTATTTCAATTTCTGAGGAAAATACCTTATCTGGTAAATTACAAATTGACCAACAAAAGCAAACATAGGGAGAATTAAAAAATTCTTTAAAATTTGACTGTAGCATTTTTAGGCGGCTGCTTTCCAAGTAATGTTCACTTCTTTGTTCAGTTCAGTTTTTACTATTCCACTTTTTTTCTCACTTTCACTTGATTTAAGCAACAAAATGCAGTTTCACAGGTAGGGAATATGTGAAGAAACCAGAAGTCCCCCAGAAACCATAAGCCTAAGCAGCACATTCCATTAAAGGCAGTAGGATTTGTGCTCTGAGGCAATCTGTCTCAAATTTGGGGTGACTAAGGAGAGAAGAACAATTCCCTGAAGGGGGGTGATGGCACATGTCTGTGGAGTAAGAAAGGACAAAGAAATGAGAAATCCAAGGAAATGCTGATTTACTGGGGTAAGGAGGAAGGGGGTGCAATTCCTCCATGACGTATCAGAAAACATAGTATTAGACACTGGGGAGAGGGGTTGTAAAGCTCTGTTGTCGCTGTCAGGGTAAGCCCAGCAGTACCGGTGTGTTGGATGTGTCAAGGCACCGGAGTTGTGCTGAAGGGACCCTCAGGAGCATCGTGCACAGCACAACATGGCAGCCTGTCGCAGCCCTTCCCTTCCCACGCTGGTGAACTCCACTGCTCTGCAGACCTTTCCAAGGGCCTATTGATCATGGAGACCTCTTACAATTACTGAGTGGTTGCTGTTTTGTGAATATTTGTTTGTTCCCGCTCCCTTGACACCTGGGCTGAGGCTGGGGAGTCTCTACCCTGTAAGACAACCTGTACTTCATTCTCCTGACAGAGCTGAAAGACAAACTGTTGTGGTAAAATAATAAAATAAAATAATAAAAAAGGACAACCACAATCTAAAACATTTGCAGACCAAGTTTGCTCCTTTCTTTCATCACTTAGAGCTAGAAAAATACCATTGGGGATGCTTGTGCTTTTCCCAAGAACCAGAAGACATGCTTGTTAAAGGCATTTTCTTATCCCCAAGCGTATTCAGAATGTTTTTGATTATATACTCTCTGAAGGAGCTCTTCTGCTCTCTCCGCTACTTCTTTTGTACTGACTTTTGTATTCGACTATAATGACTGAGACTGATTATTTTGCTGAGTTACTGTTTAGCTAGATCAGTGAGCTGAACTCATCACAAGCTCACACAATACCTACTTTCAACATGAGGAAGATAGAAAAATGCGTGGCAAGATACATACTTGTGGATGGACATCTTGACGGGATCTTTGCTTTGGTATATGTAGTTCACAGTTAGATCAGATGTAGCATATTGTGAAATGGCACCCTAACGATCCTTTTAAAGGCATTAATGACCATTTAGTACTAAAGACAAAGTTACAGACTATATTAGGTGTGAATCGTATGCTTATATTCATATTCTAGTGGTATCTATTCTACACTAGAACGAGACTGATTCTTCACCTTATTCTGCGGGACAGACTGTTCCCTACAATATCTAGCTGAGAATTAAAAGAAATAAAGGAATCTGAGCTAACACTACCAGAAGTCACATACTGAGATGAACATTTTCATGGTGGGATAATCACTATTTCTGTTAATAAGCTCTTCCTAGTCAGTATATGTCAGACAGAGCCCTAAAGTGATAAATTTCTTGAATCAACGTGTCTCTGCAACTTCAAGCTTTTCAGAGCTCTGAGATAATTACGATAATTCCTTTAGAAGGAATAATATTTCTTGAGAAAAAACTAATTTCACCCACAACGTGGCCCTTGCGATCTAAGAAATCATAAATCATCTGGGCAGTAAATATGCAGAAACAAAGCAAAACAAAACAAAAAAAATATTGCAAAACAGCCTCTGTGGGAGCTGTATGATGTGCATTAAAATTTTACTATTAAAAATCACTCCTGGTGTGTTACACAAAATGGACACCCAAAGAAGATGAGGCATTCAGAATTGAAAAGCACTAAAACCATTCACCCCTAAGCCTCTACTTTTCTGCATACAAAACAAATTACTATACTTATCAACAACCAAAGCTGAAAATGCACAGGGCTTGAGCTATTTTCAGGCAGAGGTTACATAAATTATTGTCATCCTTATTTTACAATTTTGAGAACTAAACAACAGAAATTATAAATCTCAATTTTAAAGGAAAACTTAACTGAATGGAAGAAATTTGTGTATTTCATAAGTTTCATACTATATCCAGTCCATGAATTCTCGTAATTTTAAATAGCTAATAGACACATTGTTCAGACATAGTTAGGTGCGTTGAGATTTGGGTGGCAGCCCATGTATTTGCTTCAAATGTCAAATCAATTGCATGGTTTTTTTCCAGCAGGCTAGAAAATACGAATAACTTAAGTGTTAATGAAAAAGCTACAGGTGCATAGATTTGGTCAACTAACAGTCCTAAGAAGTTCTGGCATAAAAAACACCTGCGGCACTGTCACTAATGGCTGTTGCCATGGAAACACAAAAAAGAAAGGGGAGCAAATTTGGAGGATAAAAATAGATGAAAGCCATATATGTGACTGCCATGCTGTCGTTATCATCTTGGTAGTTTAGAGCCACGTTTATAACAATAACAACATGCCAGGGTGTTTCTGAGATCTGCAGGTGGAAGCAATCCTCTTTCTTTGTTCTTAAGGTTGCTTTCTTGTCAGGCACGAAAGACGAACACATCAGTTTTACTGGAGCCCACAAAGGTCATCCAAGAAAAGAACAACTCAGTATGTGAGGAAGGGGGTATGTGATGCTTTGCTTTATTTGTTTTTATCAGCAGTATTAAGACATTTAACCAGTAAAAAAATACTTCTTTACAGTTTACTTAGAAATACTGCACTCACTCAACAACTAGCTTACTCAACTGAGTTCCTCCAACTTCCTTCTTACCTAGAAATTATCACAGTTTAACAGAGAGCCCTGTCTATCAGGGATGTTTAATTATATTTATTTCTCTTCTTATCTGCCCTTCACAAATTTTTGCTACAGTAATTCTTTCACCTCTTTTAATGGTCAAATTTCTCTCTCTCACAGATATTCCCATCAGTACCAAATATTGCTACTGGTACAAGGTACAATACCCTTGTACCAAACATTAATACCATAAAAGACTTTGGCACAATAAGCAGGAATGGGCTAAATATCTTAATAGCAGGAAAGGTGCACTGGACAAAGGATCTCCTTATTTTGAAATGACAGAGAAAGTAAAGATCCACATGTATTATTTGAGTATACAACAGCCATCAACTACCAAACCAAAGTGGCCACAACAAAGATGCCTAAAATGCTTCAAAGAAAGTTTTTCCATTATTGCCAGGAAACACTGAGTCTTTGGCATTAGGGAGACACACTCAGTAATACCATGCAAGATTCTGCTCAATCATGTTTGTGAAAGAGGAACTGAAGTTGGAATAGATGAAGACAAAAATTCCCAGGATGACTTGAAGCTTGTTTAGCTTAGTGAATGCAAGGCCAAGAAAGGATATACCTCTTGCCTGCAAATATAACAAAAATGCAAACTTGAGAACTGGAAATAACACTATTTAATCCAAAGAATAATATTGGCACAAATGGGTATGAAATGACTGCAAATACTGTTAAGCTGGAAACTAACATAAGATTTTAAGCTACCATGAACCTGGAGTCCTTCAATAGCACTAGTAGGGGCAAGAACATACCTAGCTTCAAGGTAATGCTTGATTAAACAGCAGAAAAGATTATATGGCTGTTACCTTTGAGTCTATGGGATTCAGCGACAAAGAATATATCCAGGTTTTTATTCCTACTTGTATCTGGTTTAAGTGGCAAGGTTTTTGTAGCAGCAGGGGGGCTGCAGGGCCCCCTCTGCAGTGCAGAGACCCCCACGTCAGAGCAGGAGGATATTTCCTGCAGTAAGCTGCAGCTGGTGGAGAGACCAAGCTGGAGCTGCAGATCATGGGAAGGAGCCACGCTGGTGCAGGGCAAAAGTGTGAGGAGGAAGGAGTGACAAAATCTCTCATCTACTATCCCTCTCTGCAAAACACCAGATGATCAGAAAATACCTTTTACAACTTGCATGCATGTTCATCAGATGATGTCTGATACCTTTCTCAGATGATCAAAGATCACCTGTGGCAACACTCAAAATTGTTCAAAAATACTTGCATGTAAATAAGGATAATTGAAGCTTAACTGCCCTTTGTTAGCTCTTTTTCCAAAATGGAGGTAGAAAATGCAGTGGAAATGGAGTTTTCAGTCTGACACAGATACAAGTACAGAGTTTGTATTCAAAGTGAGCTCAGAAATTATACATAGGCATATTCCCTAAATCACCATAGTAATTATTGTGACCTAGAACAAGTACCTT